TGAGTCTAACCATACAAAAATTATCCAATTCCCATAACATTTCGACCCTCAAATCCATGATTCTATCCAAGAGGGTTTTCTATACTTTCCAACAAAATTCGCGGATTAAAAACCAAAACTAGTGATAATTCAAGTTATACAACCAAAAATTGAGTTAAGAATACTTACCCCGTTGTTCTCTCCAAAAATCTCCCGAAAAATCGCCTTACCCGAGCTCCAAATCGTCAAAAATGGCAAATGGGACAAAGTTTGGACTTTATTCTGCTGCCCAGGGATTTGTTCTTCGCGTTCGCGGTCCTCCTCTCGCGTTCGCGAAGAACAAAGTTCCAAAAATTCATTTTCCAAACTCTGCTCGGACAACCTCTAGTGTAATGGTCATAACTTTTTACACACAACTCCAAATGACTATTATAATATGTTTCTGGAAACTAGATTCAAAGAGCTACAACTTTCATTTTTGAATCATCTCCAAATTCATTGTAGATTCAGAGATACGAGCCTCCAAAGTAAGACCTACGCAACAGAATTGCCTCTTCTTCGCGAACGCGAGGCTCTCTTCGCGAACGCGAAGAACAAAACCCCAGAAGCCAAATCCTTCTTCGCGAACGCGAGGGGACCCTCGCGAACGCGGAGAACAATACCAGATACCAGCTTCAGCCATTGCAAAACAGCCCGAAATGATTCGAAACCACCCCGAAACACACCCGAGGCCCTCGGGACCTCAACCAAACACGCCAACATATCCCATAACATTATTCAAACTTGTTCCAACCTTCGGAATGCTCAAAACAACATTAAAACACCAAATTTGCATCGGATTCAAGCCTAACAATTTCAAGAACTTCCAAATTCCATTTTTGATCAAAAACCCAACCAAACCACGTCCGAATGACATGAAATTTTGCAGACAAGTCCAAAATGACATAACGAAGCTACAGCAACTCTCGGAATTCCATTCCGACCCTCGGATCAAAATCTCACCTATCAACCGGAATTCGCCAAAATACTAACTTTGCCAATTCAAGCCTAATTCTACACCGGACCTCCAAAATCAATTCCGATCACACTCCTAAGTCACAAATCACCTTTCGAAGCTAACCGAATTATCAGAATTCACCTCCGAGCCCTCTAACTCATAAGTCAACGTCCGGTTGACTTTTTCCAACTTAAGCCTTCCTTAAAGAGACTAAGTGTCTCATTTCTTATCAAAACCAATCCAAATCAACTCTAACACACCAAATACCGATAATGAAACATTAAGAAGCATAAAATGGGGGAAACAGAGCGGTAACTCATGAGACGACGGGTCAGGTTGTCACACCTTTGGGCTCACAAATGCTCCAGCTACATTTCAGGCCCTAATGAACCAAGTCTTTCAACCTTATCTGAGGAGGTTTGTTCTAGTGTTCTTTGATGATATACTCATTTATAGTTTGAATTTGGAGGAGCATGTTAAGCATCTGATGGTTGTGTTTGGCCTATTGAGGAAACACACCTTGTTTGTTAAGAAGTCCAAGTGTTCTTTTGGACAAACACAAGTGGAATACTTAGGTCATGTCATTTCCAAAGAGGGAGTCTCCACTGATCCCCCTAAGATTCAAGCAATGGTAGACTGGCCTAGGCCCAACTCCCTTAAGGCCCTCAGAGGGTTCTTAGGATTGACTGGTTACTACAGAAAATATGTGGCTAACTATGGAACCATATGTCGACCCCTCACTGATCTGCTAAAGAAGGATGCATTTAAGTGGAGTCAAGAGGCTGAGTTAGCTTTCTCTGCTCTCAAATCTGCCATGTCCTCAACACCAGTACTTGCATTGCCTGACTATACTAAGGAGTTTGTGGTTGAAACTGATGCCAGTCAGGGAGGAATTGGAGTTGTGCTCATGCAAGGGGGTAAACCAATTGCTTATTTCAGCAAGGTGCTAGCTCAGAAACACAGAGGGAAGTCCATTTATGAGAAGGTATATGGCCTTATTGAGTGTTGTGGATAAATGGAGGCACTACTTGCAGTTCAAGCATTTCATAGTTAGAACAGATCACCATAGTTTGAAGTATCTACTTGAACAAAGGGTAACTTCAGCTATCCAACAGAAAGGCTTAACTAAGCTACTTGGGCTTGACTATGAAGTGCAGTACAAGAAGGGGGCTGAAAATAGGGTAGCTGATGCTCTTTCTAGACAGCAAGAGGGTTTAAACACTCAACCAACTCAAGGGTCAGGACAACTTTTAGCTATTAGTATTTCTGTTCCTACTTGGATGCATGAGGTAGCTGCTAGCTATGAAGGAGACCCTCAGGTACAAGACATAATCCTACAACTTTCTATTGACTTACAAGGTCCCAGTATTTGGCATTATTCAGCAGGGATTCTCAGAAAGAAAGGTAAGGTGTATATAGGGATGAATGGCAACCTTAGGCATCAATTGATTGACTCCTTCCATGACTCTCCTAGTGGGGGGGCATTCTGGTCAGCTGGGTACCATAAAAAGACTGGCTCAGCTATTCACTTGGCCCAGGATGAAACAAATGGTAATTGAGTATGTGTCCAGTTGTGATGTGTGCCACAGAAGTAAGGATGACAATGCAGCATACCCCGGGCTTCTACAACCACTCCCCATTCCCAATCAAGCATGGAGCCACATTAGTATGGATTTCATAGAAGGTCTGCCCAAGTCCAAAAATAGAGAACTGATACTGGTGGTGGTGGATAGGTTCACCAAATACGCTCACTTCATTGCCCTAAAACATCCTTATACAGCTGCTACAGTAGCTGAAGTGTTTTGGAAAAGAGTGCATAGTCTGCATGGCACTCCTGAGACCATAGTTACTGATAGAGACAGAATTTTCCTAAGCAACTTCTGGCAAGCCTTGTTCAAACTCCTGGGGACTATTTTGCATTATAGTACAGCATATCACCCACAAAGTGATGGCCAAATTGAGAGGATGAATAGATGTCTTGAAAATTACCTCAGGTGTATGACTGCTAGTCGACCTAACCAGTGGAAACAATGGTTATCTGCTGCTGAATGGTGGTACAACACTAATTTCCATACAAGCTTGCAATGCACCCCATTTGAAGCCTTGTATGGCTACGTTCCTCCTCAACTATCTATTGGACCCCTGCTAGAAACTATTGTACCAGCAGCTGAAGATGCTGTGATGAGGAGACAACAGATGCATCAATTACTGAAGGATAATTTGAGCAAAGCTCGGGAAAGGATGAAGTTCTTTGCTGATAATAGAAGAACTGATAGGGAGTTCCAGGTTGGTGACTTGGTTTATTTGAAGCTGCAGCCGTATAGACAAACATCCATTGCTTTACGAAAGAACCTCAAGCTGAGTTCCAAGTACTATGGTCCTTATAAGATCCTTGCTCGAATAGGTGCTGTAGCTTACAAGCTAGAATTACCCTCTACATCTAAAATTCATCCAGTCTTTCACGTCTCCTTACTCAAGAAAAAGGTTGGCAATAGGGTGGTGGTGCAAACAGCCCTTCCAAGTACTGGTGAGGATGGTCAGTTTTTGGTTCGACCAGTGGCTATCCTTCAAAGGCAGCTGGTTAAGAAGAATAATGTGGCAGGTGTTAAGGTACTAGTGCAATGGTCTAACCTCCCTCCTGAAGATGCAACTTGGGAGGATTACCAATATTTGAAGACCAAGTTTCCTGGGTTCGATTCCAATCCTTGAGGTCAAGGATTATTTGAAGGGGACGGGATTGTCATGCATCAGGTGGCCCAATGTTAATTATACATAGATGTAGCATATGGGATTCGAACTGGTTACAGCCTTGGTGATTGTTGTTCAGTTAATTAGAAACGAAGGGCCAGGATTAGAAGTTCATTAATTAGAAAGAAGGGTCAAGATCTCTCCACGTCAGCAGGTGGTTAGTTTATTACAAATACCCAAAGTCAAGAGAGAGAAGGCAACGAATTTCGGTAATTTCATTCTCCCCCTGAATTCCTTCTCTCCTCTGTTCTCTCTCTCTTCTCTTCTCCTCTAATTCTCTTCTCTTCTATCTCTGCAGATTCTCAATGGCTATGGCGACTCTCATTCTCATTATTTCTAGTTAATTCAGTTACTTTCTTTGTAATTGTTTTCAGTTTTCCATTAATAAAACCAGAAAATTATCCCAAAAAAGTGTTGAGCTCGATTTCTATTTGCAATCAGCTTTGGATCCTTATCAGGATCCTTACAACTTTTAAGGATTTTATCCTTGAACCCATTAAATTTTTAAAGTTATGGGTTCATATGCACTATTTTTATAATTTTAATAAATTTTTACATATAAATTTTTTATGAGTTCATTTGAACCCGGTGGTAATACACTACATCCGCCCTTGGATGGGACACATAAGCCAAAACCAGCTGTTTCTTTCTCTCTTTTTTCCGCTGGTGTTCGGTATTTATAACGACTAAATTTAAACTCGCGCTGAAAAGTCTCACGTTAACAGCTTGTTTGGATAGTAGTTACCTGTTGTATTATATCATATTATTATTTTAAATATACTATCTATTTTGATTGTTACTTTAATTTTATTGTGTCGTATAATTAAATGCAACGAAAAATATCACTTTAAGTAACGACCAATTTGGTATGATCGCATTGTCCTTTTTTATTATTAAATAATCTTATTTATCGTTTACCTTAATTAAATGATGAGTAATTCAATCCTATTTTTTCTTGTTAATGCGTAAAACCATGAAATAATATAATATAACATTGTATTTATCAAAATAATAAAGTACAATTAATACATTATAAAATGATGCATAATAATCATCCAAACTTAAGATAAAGAGTCACTAACAAAGACAAATTTTATATGAACCACAGGAAAACACGCGGCCGATACAGGTTCTGCACTTCGGGTGTGCGTATTGGGTAAAACCCTCCCTTATGTGTAATAGTATGCAAATCAACACAGAAAATGTTAACCGTACAAGACAATCCCGTGGGATAAGCTCGACCCAAAAAGCATTGAGGCAGGATGTAACTTAATATGCTATTTCATACTATTATCTTGAATTCTTCTTTTACCCAAGAATAGATCTGCTTTCTCTCTCTTCTTTTTCTCACTATTATTACTACTACAAGTAGTCACCTCAAAAGGGGTGACACCAAAGACCTCAAGCTATTTTCTCATATTTTTGTTTCTCTACTTTGGTATGTATTCTGAAATAAAGCTAACTTCTTTCAAGAACGCAACAAAGAAATGTAAGCTTCCTTAGATCTGTCAAGCTCCAATTTTTACTGCATATTTTTCTTATTTCACCAATTTCAACTTTAATGTATGCTTCTTTCTTGCAATTTAGTTCTATATTTTCTTGTTTCCTGTTTGATTTTCATTTTTTCTTCTCATTTTTGGGATATTTGATAAATGTGTGTTTGATCTTTGGCCTATTGTTGAAAAGGAAGCTGATTGCAGTGACATTATGTAAATGTCTTTTTTAATTTGTATATTTTTTTGTTGCTTAATTTGTCCAATTGGGTTAGTAGTTACTGTACTATTTGAATTAGATTGAGCTAATATAAAAGTCGGGATCTTTATTAGCAAAGAAATTTTAATTCACAGATCTTAGATTATAATCCCAAATCTCCATTCCCTCTATAGATAGTCACAATTAAAGTTGTTGTACATTTTATGTAATAATAATTCACAAAATTTGTGAGCCGTACACCAAGAGAACTAGCTCTGGTATTCAAGTGGAGAAGTGTAGATCCTCGGGCCCATCATCCCCGAGTTTCAAAGGATGTGATCAGAGGCGGAGTTAGGATTTGAAGTTTATGGGTTCAGGAATCTTATTTGTTTAAGTTACTGGGTTCTAAATTAATAAATTGTATATATTAGATGAATTTCTTAAGACAAATACATGATTTGGACAAAAGCTACTGGGTTTGGCCGAACCCATATGTCGTGCTCTAGCTCCGCCCCTAGCTGTGGTCGGTCCAAAGAGTCGGCTTCAGATGGATTCTCGGTCATAACAAAAAATTCACAAAAATTATGTGATGCATTTTGATGTATATTAAATAATTACTGTAATGTATTATGTTATAGGGCAAATTGAGGAATGAAAAGAAGATGGGGAGGAAAGGAAGCTGGTTTTCTTCTGTAAAGAAGGCTCTGAGCCCTGATCCCAAGGAAAAGGCAGACAAGGTATATTGAAATAGCAATTCCCTACTCCTTTCCTTATGAAAATTCTCTCTTTTATCAATGGTTCTGATATTTATTGTGCTCAAATTTCAGAAAGCAAGTAAATCCAAGAAGAAATGGTTCGGGAAAGAAAAGCAGACGCTCCCCAATTCTTCGACTGTGGTGACCGCCACAGTGTCGCCTCCTCGTCCTGCCCCTCCTGTGGAAGAGGTCAAATTTGATGAAGTGGAAGAGGAGCAGACAAAACATGCTTATTCGGTCGCAGTTGCCACAGCTGCTGCTGCTGAAGCTGCTGTTGCAGCTGCCCACGCTGCTGCAGAGGTTGTTCGATTAACTACAGTGAACCAATTCGCTGGCAAATCAAATGAGGAAGTAGCTGCAATCCGAGTTCAGACTGCCTTCCGAGGTTATCTGGTATGCTTTTTAAAAATTATAGTGTTCTTTTTGTTTCATATAGGAGCACCTTTTTTTAGCTAATTTACTGTAAGTCTAATACTATCAAACAAACAGCACTAATACATGTATGTTGTTTCATCTACATTTTAATTGTTTGGCTTGTGAAAACGTACAATAATTGGCTGATGTTGAGATATCCATGCAATTTTTGGTTTATCCTTTGTAGGCGAGGAGGGCATTGAAGGCCTTAAGGGGACTCGTCAGACTCAAATCACTCGTTGATGGAGCTACTGCCAAACGACAAACTGCAAATGCTCTCAAATGCATGCAGGCTTCATCTCGTGTTCAATCTCAGATTAGTTCTAGAAGGATCAGGATGTTGGAGGAGAACCGAGCTCTCCAGAGGCAGCTTATGCAGAAGCATGCGAAAGAACTCGAGAGTTTGAGGGTTAGTTTCTCTCTTTATTCCTGGAACAGCGGAACATGATTCTACAATCACTTTGTGTGGTTTAGGTGCATCTATATGCTGGTGGCAATATAACTTTTCTGAATGAATTCAAACTCTTCATCTAATAGCACTCTTTGTTTTCTCATTTTTGATAGAGAGGAGAGGAATGGGATGATAGTCTACAATCACAGGAGCAGGTTGAAGCTAGCTTGCTCAGCAAATATGAAGCTGCAATTAGACGAGAAAGAGCGCTTGCATATTCATATTCTCATCAGGTATTCAACGAATATGTGTTTCATAAAAAAATTGACATTTTGGAGAGCACAGTCCAATGAAATATTACATTTCCTATGGAAAGTTTTTAGATGTATGCAGCGTTCTAAGGTGCAAAGCCCCTTTTTTCCAATACTGCTAACATTCATATAGTCCAAAATTAAGAAGGGATTATTAGTTGGACCGCCCTCTAAAATAATAGCTGGCAATATGTTTTGTATATAAGTATATAAATATACATACAACATACATATAATATACATACTATATACATAATCAGTGTATATGGTTTGTATATGTTGGCTAGCCCCTGTAATTAATTTTGGGCGACAAGCCAACAATAAAAAAGCGCACTTAAGAATGAATGATAGGCCTCGACCCCTATTATACATGACATATGCAGAACTTTAAAGATAGACTGATTAATGTGTTTAGAAACTATGATCTTTCTCAAGCTACGAAGGACTTTTCGATTCATTGATTCTGTAAAATATTAACTGAACAGCAAACCTGGAAGAAATCGTCAAGATCTGCCAATTTGTTATTCATGGATCCAACGAATCCTCAGTGGGGTTGGAGCTGGTTAGAGCGGTGGACGGGTGCTAGGCCTTGGGAAACTCAAAGCTTATCTGAGAAAGAACGTAAAAATGATCAGATGTCTGTTAGAAGCATGAGCATTACTGGAGGAGAAATTGCCAAGGTGTTTGCCCGTCATCAGCTGAATTCTGAACTCCCTTCATCACCTACTACTCCTTCGAAGCCAAGCACTTCAGTAACAGCGAGAAAGCTGAAATCAGCAAGCCCAAGAGTTAGTGCAATAAACCAAGATGATGATGATGCTCGAAGCATGTTTAGCGTGCAATCAGAACGGAACAGGAGGCATAGCATTGCAGGGTCATCCATACGAGATGACGAGAGCTTGGCGAGCTCTCCCTCAGTCCCAAGTTACATGGCCTCTACGAAGTCTGCAAAAGCAAAAACACGGTTGCAGAGTCCTTTAGGCGTAGAGAACGGAACACCAGAAAAGGGATTGGCAGGGCCTGTGAAGAAGCGGCTCTCTTATCCACCTTCACCTGCCCGGGCAAGGCGGCATTCAGGCCCACCAAAGATTGACAACACCTCATTGAACACCTCCATTGCTGAGGATAATGTGTATGTTGTCGTCAACTAATAAGCGACCCTACCAACACCCTTCTGGCTTATTATAGGTATGCATTAAAATGCCATTCATTGTGCAGCCTCAACTGCACCATAAAATTCTTATTAATTCATTGCTGTACGGGCTTGCCCTGGATGGTTCTTGCTTTTCATTTTACTTTCTCCCACGGTTGTTGATGAACAGAGAAATGCATAGTTGTGAATCATTTTAGACAAGATTTCCTTGATTGTGATTACATATAATTGTTTCTTTTTATTTATGTACCCTAATAGTGAAAGAAACAAAAATATTACTATTTCTTTGTTGACTCAATGGTATACTTGTATACTGCTTGTTTTGCCTTCCCATGTATTAGTTTTGCCTGCTAAGAGTTCTGCGGATGGTCGTCGGATAGAGAGGCGGATCCATGATGGGTTCCTATAACGACCTTAAGTAAATATATACTAATAAATAATTGGGTTCACAATCAAATATTTATGGATATTCAGTGGATTTTTTAATACATATACACGGTACATGCAAAAGCTACTGGGTTCACGGGAACCCACATTCAATAGGCTGGATATATATATATTCTACCATACTAACCCGTAATTATCATTTTCTTCCATATTAGAATGATCATACTCATATTTAATTTTATATAATTTAATTATCTTAATAAAATTTAAAAATGAAAATAGAGAAAGATTATGTAGAAAACTAAACCTAAAGTCGATAATATCAGTCGTCACTTTTTTGATTTTCTTGTTCTTAATTAGAGATGTATAGGTGGTCATCGTATTAAAACTAATTGATTCTATGTAATTTAATTAACTTAGTAAAGTAAAAAAGAAAAATAAAGAACTATGTGTACAAAAATATGTTTGATTGTCTAGGTGTACAATAATATGTTCATTACGCTTCGAACACTAAATGTAAATACATATTCTAATACTATAATTAGATACAAGCATCTATTCATAATTATTATACTCTTTAGCTCAACATCAAATTCTAAAATACTTTCAAAATAACAATTTACAATTGTACGTTAAATACACATAATTAAATAATATTTATATAATTTTTTAAAGTCTTATATTTACTATATAGGGCACTCGCGCATAGATGGTGAAGAAGCTAGTATAATCTTCACCATCTATTTACTATAGTTTTATATTTACTACTTGAGCGAAAGTGATCATTCATCTAATTATTTAAAAATAAATATTACATTGGACAATTTTTTTTTATTTTGGACGTTGAAATTAACTAAAATTTTGATTATTAAATCTTTTTTATTTGCACTATATAGAGATTCCTAATTTAGAAATTTAATGCCAATAAAATTACTTATATAAGTTGAGTAAGTTTATTTTTAGAAGAATTCATAATTTAGGAATTGTTATTTCATCTATAAAGAAAAAAAAAAGTGACATTAGATGTCTTCCACTTGAAGATATCAAGAGACTCGTAGCTTTTTCTTCTCTATTTATTTATTTTTAGGTGTAAATCAGTTGCAAGTGGAAGAGACAAAAACTAAATTCGAATTCACGTCGGAAAGTCCCACATTAGGAGAAAGGAGGGGGGGGGGGGGGGGGGGATGTTAAGCGTTCTCTAACAAAGACGATCTCATACACACGATCTCGAACCCAAAACCTCTGGTTAAAGATGACGGAGTATCTAATATTTCACTATATTGTTATGGCATGTCACATTAAAAGCTAAATTTTTAATGATAATACCCTTTGAACGTTAGATGAGTTTTATCATTAAAAATGAGTTTTTAATATGACATGTCATGCCAACCGGAGAGAATGAGGCTCTTAAGGTGTCTCATATTTTCTGAGTCAAAGAGTAATACTAATTGAGTTGATTTTGTTATTAAAAAAAAAAAAGTGACTTTGATACCTGATTTTCAAAAGTTGGATGATCATTTAAGAAATTAACTCCAGAAAATGGCCACTTACTTCAAAAAGCGGTTCCAAAATAGAGTTAATTTTATTTAAATTTATTGGACTTTTGAATCTTTCGATTTTTAAATAATTTATTGTTTGGACCACCTAGCGTGGATATGCAATAATAACATACGCAAACCTTACCCCTATGAACGTAGTGATCGATAAATGGGAAGAGAGTTATGACATGTCAACTACAAGTCCTAACGGAGACAAAATTTTCTTCCGTCTTAAAAAAATAAATTAACGAGTGAAACATTATCAACCTTCTAGCGATAGATAATTTGACTTTTAATATGTTCAATCCACAAGACAAAATCAATTAAAAAAGCTATTTGCTCGTAAAATATAAACTCACTTCTAAAAATGATTTACGAAAAATATCTTGATAATTGGATAATGTTGAAACAAAAGATATAAATAAACATTCAAGTTTTTTTTAAAACTATTTTTGTTTCTTTTTAGAGAGAAACCCTAACAAGAAAAAGTGGGACCCAGCATATAAGATTCTATATAAATTTTGGAGAAGCCCATGAATGGATTCTCGTTTGGTCTAATCTCTTCTTCTTCAAGCCCTTAGGTGAAGAACCTTCGGCAACAATGGTGAACGCTCTTTCTGTTTACTATATTCCATTTCAATTTATACCACATTATTATAATTTTTAAAGGTTCAAATTGTTTGTTCTTCTAATCCTTTACTGATACCGATCAGCAATGGTCCTCTTTTTTTTTTTTTTTTTTCTATACCTGATTCCTGATTTTCTGGGGATACTTATAGTATAATATATTGTGGGTTTTTTTGCATTTTTAGTCATCTGGGGTGCCTTATTTGTTGGTTCTGATCATAAAGCTTTGAAATTTTGATCATAGCGAATATTTTTTTAATATGTTGTTGTTGTTACTTGTTGTTACTGCTTCCTTTCATCTTTTCTTTAGCCAGCCGAGTGTCTATAGTAAACAACCTCCCCCATGGTAGGGGTACAGATGAAGGGGATTCTTGGAGCAACGGTCAAGCTGTCTCTATATGACCTATAGGTCACCGGTTCAAGCCGTGGAATTAGCCCTTGACGCTTGCGTCGGGTATGCTGCCTACATCACACCCCAGGGGTGTGGTCCTTTCTCGGATCCTGCGTGAACACGGGATGCTGCGTGCATTTGGCTGCCCTTTTGAGATTTTTTAGGTTATACTATAAACTTAGATAGTTGCTTTATATGATGATGTTGCTTAAGATGACTCCTTTTTGCTATTTTCAATCTAAAATATCGATTTTCATCACCAATTGAAAAGCTTTTGATTTGTCGCTAATATTTATAATATTGATTATAAAATTGTTAAGAAAGTGATTATTTTTCTTATGTTTAAAAGAGGAATGCAAAGATATATTTATTTGCTTAACGAATATTTTAGTTCACCTCATCTTAATATATTTCCTTATAAAATGTGCTTTTGATTATGTCGTTGAATTTTAATGTATTTTTTTATACTGTTAATTAGATGTTAGACACATATTGTATTAGAACCAAAACTAGACTTGATAAAGTGATTAATAAGCCAATGGTATTATGGAAAACAAATCCAAGTTAAAAGCAATCACATGTTTAGATGATTCACTACATATACATATCTTAACAACATGCAATAAAAAACACAATAAGTTATCGCGTATAGTTCACCATATTATAATCATTGTATCACTTGACTATGGACCAAATGGTATAATGTTTGTTTGGTATCATAGTTTATCTTTTGCTTTGAGAACTCTCTGCAATTGGCGATGATGGGATTGCTTTAACCCATAAGGAATTGACCAGCTTCTCAATAAGAATTCTTTCTAGAGTGGGCGGACGAAGAGTCGTAGTGGTGAAGGGGGGGGGGGGGGGGGCGCTTGTGTTTGGAAGCAGATGTTTAACTTGGATAGTCATTTCATGCCAACTTGAGTTGATTTACTATCACTATTGCAACCCCTGTTGTTTTCTGTTTTACTAGAAGTGGCCTGTTGCATATATCTCGTTTTATTCCGTACTATATCGAGCTTCTTTTTTGTTGCACTAGTAATATCTGTATCTTCTTTGCACATTCTTGAGTTGTTCTTCAAATGGAAATGTTATTGGAAAAATGGTCATATATTGGGCCCTGAGGGCTTTGGTCTAGTAGTAAGAGCGCAAGGTGTGATGTGTGTGGGTAAGGCACACATCATTAGTTCAACCCTGCAGCTGACAAAAGCCTGATATTTAAATGGACAAGTGTTCAAGGGCTGGCCCATTATCCACCAGATTTGAACTGTGTTTCACCTGTGCTCGAGATTCTCGGTTATCCTTAAAAAGGAAAGATACCCCATATATTGGATTACTTTAGTCTGCTAAACTATTTCTTAGTTCCACGTATAATGCACAAGTAACTATGTCCATCATGCTGCTTAATGCTCACGATGTGGTTTCAGTATGGTGGTAGCTACCTTTTCTTGATTATACTCATAATTTTTGTAATTCTAAATTGTGCTCCAGCCCGCACCATTGGTAGCAGGACTGGCTATAGCCGCTGCTGCATATGCTGGAAGGTACGGAATCCAGGCATGGAAAGCATTCAAGGCCAGACCTCCGACTGCAAGAATGCGTAAGTTTTATGAAGGAGGTTTTCAGCCTAAAATGAACAGGAGGGAAGCAGCTCTTATTCTTGGAGTCAGGTGTGTTCTCTCATTCATGTTAACACCTTGCTGCTTTTCCAGTATCTCACCATATTCTCGCTATGACTTTAGTGTTGAGCCAAAAGTTATAAAGTAAACTACATACAGATGAACTTTGCCTAAGTAAAATAATTGAAATTCTTTATTATCCAGTCAAGTTTATTCAGTAAAGGAAATCTGGTAAGGTTTTCCGGCCTACCTCTTTTTTGCATTCTTTCTTTTCCTTGTCTGATTCAAGTATTACTATTCATGCTTGATCATAGCATACGGTTCCCAGAGACATGTAATTTTCATGTAAATGTAGAATTTCAGTTTCTGTGCCTTACTAGGAATGTAAAAGTGAAGGGTTTACAGATAGTAATAAGTATGAGCTTTTTTTAGTAGAGGTTAATTATTTATGCTGTCCCTGGCCAATGTTGATTTTCTAATTACTTCTAACTTAATAAAACATTGCTACTGAAATTTCTTGTTGTAGGCTGAGCTATAAATGTATTTTCCATCTGTCAGTATGACTCAACTTGCCCTTGTAACCCGTATTATAGAACTGTAAGTTGGTGCATCCTTGAAACTATTAAATTTGTTTTTGATAACCGAAAAAATCCCCGAGGACAAGCGGGACAAGGTTCGAGACTTGGTGGATAATGAATCCCCCACCCCCGCGCAATGGTCTTTCACCGAGTTCAATAGCTTGTCTTGTGTGGAAAAAACATTTGATGCTTTGATCTTGTGATGATTCTGCCTTTTGTGTTTAATTTGAGAAACAAGATTCTAGATCTTGCATTTGTCTCTTCACTTTTTAAGTTGATTCAGAAATTGAATACTGCTTTCAGTAGCTCGTGAAGAGATAAGTGACATTTTTCTTTCAATTTCCTGGACCTCATTTCTTGACTTTGGTGTAACGCCTTCATCTGCGCGTGTTTGTTTAGACGTCGTGCTTTGTAGTACTGTCTATCTCTCTTTCCACCCCATCCCAAGAAAGAAACAGACTTAGTACAATGCTATTCAATAGAGAAGAAGTGCAGCATAACTCGCCTTTCTCATTTTTTTCTTTTACCAGATATGTTATATTGACATCAACCTTCAACAGGGAAAGCGTTCAAGCAGATAAAGTGAGGGAAGCGCATAGGAAGGTGATGGTAGCTAACCATCCAGATGCAGGAGGTAGTCACTACCTTGCTTCTAAAATTAATGAAGCCAAAGACACCTTGCTTGGAAATACGAAGAACAGTGGATCTGCATTTTAGGCTCAACAGAGTTTTTAGTGGTGCTATAGAAGTTCCAAATACTAGGCTCTTTTTAGGTATTCGTGTTCTCCAGCAATTAGACACTAGAATACTGAGGTTATTAGTATATAATTCTTTTAAACCAAAAGATGCATTCAGTATAAGTTAGCATTTGTCGCCTGCACTAGTTGAGCGAATGTTGGAGAATTTGCTACTAGAGCGTCGACTGTGATGACACGGGCGGATCTCCTCATCGATGTTTCCTGCGGGTGAAAGTCTTTCAAAGTTTCTTTTTAAGTGTCCTTGCTTAGAACAGGCAACTACGACTCAATTTCAAATGAGTTAGAATCGACTATTTAAATTTATATTTTCATGTTGCTCTATTTAAGGAAGTTAGAAGCGCTTCTTAAAATCCTTTATACAAACTCTAGTGAAAGCAATGAGATGTATTTTCTGTTGGGTTGGGTAGGGGAGAGCGGACGATGGAAGAATCGTAGGACTGTTACTAAAAGGACCCGGAATATTTTTGTGGTTTAACAATAGAGAAAATTGCGGCCTTCAACAAGATCGGCTAATGCATATCAAATTAGGCTCAATGTATTGTGGTGTAGCTTTTTTCTCTAAAAACCAATAAATTTTGCAAGGAAAAAGTCCAAATTTGTCTATGTATTATCCGAAGTCACTCAATTTGCACTCATTCACACTTTTGGTCAATTCTTACCTTGTCGTAAATAATCTCGCATTTGTCCTTGCCATTAATTAAACTCTAGCGTGAAGTGGATAGACTTGACATATCCAAATATTTCAATAAAAAAGGCCTAGATTTACCATTTAACTGCCGCATATGGTTTAAAATAACAAAAACTATTTTAAAGACAGACCCTTGCAACAAGGAATATCCAAATAAAGGGCATCTGTTGAAAGATAAAGATATGCTTCTACATGAAATTTTCCTGTGATAATCTGTTACTCAACCTCTGCTGGTAGGATTCATAGTGAAATCTACAAAGCACTATCCACCCAAAATAGAAGGGGAAAAAGAAAACTTTGAAGCCCATTAGGACAACTCGTACATCTGACCTTTTGGTGCTCCTGGAGAAAAGGAGCATTCCTGTAGTATATACATCAATAGTTAGTGATCAAGAAACTATTTCCTCATTGTGCTGCCAAATCAAGATTTGTAGCTTCCTCCTCTCCTAAATTAGTAGCTTCCTGTTCTCCATCATCTTCCATTGGAGCATCACCGCTATTTTCAAGAGGTCCCTGAGGGCTTCCGAAAATGGTCAGGAACATTTGTCTATGGCATTCCTCACAGAAGAAGAAATAGGAAAAGTGGCCCTCATTGGGAAGCTTGTGTACCACCACCCTTGGCAGAATTCTAGCCACGTAGTCAGTCATTTGGTGCGGTACAACCTGATCATCCAATCCCTGTTCATAATTCAAATGGCTCATGAAATATATCCTACACAGTTGAGATATGATAGAGAGAAAGTCCTATCTTTGCGCAGATCAACATTCTAAAGAAACTCAATGCAAAAAGGAGACAAGAAAGCAAACGTAACAGAGGAAACATAATCTAGATGTTTGCAAACCTGCCATATATGAACTGGTCCTAGAAATCCAGTCAATTCACACTTGACTTGACCATAACCAAACTTAAGCCATGATAAAATCCCTTTTCCGGAACACTTTTCTTGAACTTGAAGATCCACAAGGCTAAAACCCCAATTTGACACCTGAAGTGAAGCTTCCTCTATAAGCGGCTTCGAGCTACCCTGACGTATTGACTCCTCAACATCCCTGTGCCAGAACTCTTCAAAGGATGGTTCGCTGATCAGCGCTTTATCCTGAGAACAACACGAGAAGATACATGACAAAGACAATTAAAATGTTACAGAAGACACTGCAAGCAGAAGACAGCAAAATAAGTATCAAGTCTTTCTCTATCACAAATACAGTCAATCAAATCAAATATGTTTCAGTCCCAAACTAAAGCCGAATTTACAATTTTCTGCTAAACAGTAACTTGAATACTGCTGTAATAATGGGGTAGGAAATGCAAAGTGCGTTTACCTTTCACCTTTTCTTTTTTTATTTTGGGATGAACTATTTTCCCTTTTTAAGTTTTTAATTTTACAGAGTCACTTACTAGGGACAATCCAAACTGAAAATTAAGAATGAAACATTCTGGACTATCTTTTTCTCGTTTCACAGAGCTGTACAAGTAAATATTTGCATTCCATAAACACTGATCAGACCACTTTCGAGGATCCGGGAGTGGGGTGGGGGAGGAGAGAGAGCTAGGGAGCGAGATCGAACATGAATATTTAAGGTGAAATTCATGTTACTCAACATTCACATTATTTGCATGCACAGTTTTCTAATTTCTTAGGTATAAAAGATATCTACCTTTTGACCCAGCGACAGAGACAGGTATTTATCAATTTGACCATGCTTTCCAGATAGAAATCTGCGGCGATAGAAGTAATCAAGAAATTTTGGAAATCTTCGAGCCAAATAGTACATCAATTTCCTTTTCCTTGTCCACTTTTCCCAAGTTCCTGCCATCTCTTCCTTAGTCATGCTTGATTCATATGGGTTGACAAAGGGGGCAAACATGGCTACGCCTGTAACAGGATGATAAAATCAACAGGAAAATGATGAGAAACGTTTGAGTGATCTATTAGAGGGAAAAGTAGAAATGATGTTTTCTCAGAGCATCCAGCAACCAAGGAAACCATCATATTAAAGTGCCAGTCATCCAAGTGATGTTCCTTTCATATATCTTTCTAATTCAAGAAATCGTCATTGAATGTGGTGAACTGTCTCAAAGGTATATTACAATGCCGTGTTAACAAAAATGGGAGAATGAACATACCTGCAACTCGATCAGGAATAAATTTCATTGCAGCCCAAGCATGTATTGCTCCACTTGAGTATCCCAAAAGCCAGAATTTACCATTAACTCCTAGACCATCTGCCAAGTATTGCATATCCAGAGCAGATGAATTAAGGTTTCGTTCAGGGTGAGGATCACTCTCTCCAAAACCTGGAAGGTCATATGTTATCAAACGAATGCCAAACTCTTCAAGAAGGGACATTTTCACTCCGGGTATACCTATCACAAAAAGCCATCCAGAACAAGTTAATTGACTGAACCAGTGTCAAATTAATAAATATTAACCATCAGCTATACACCAATGACCAATTTCCTACCTCCAAGCCGAGAAGAGAGAAAGCCATGTGGAGCAATTACAGAATATCTAGCACTATCAGGTGGAACTCCTATCTCATGATATGCCATATGTCTACCGTCTGGAAGCACTATACGAGTAGCACTAGGAGGATGTATGTACACTTCTTTCACTTGCGCGCCTGAAGTATCTTGTTTAGTATTTACACTCAATGCTGCACATGTCACCAATTATCAGGACCAGAAACCAAAGAGAATCATGTGCTGAAAGGAACAAATCTAGAGAAAGAAGCACAATTAAGATCCCAGAAATCAAATGATAGAGCCTAAGAAATGTTCAGTGAGCGTAGAAACATAATCAAATCAGGTTATTATGATCGTGACTAATATACATTGGATCACACAAAGCAACAGAGGAAATGCTAAAAGAAGGAAGGATGAGAATTTCTTCATCATCAAAGAAATTTCTAGATTTGGAAGTTACCCGGTATAAAAATGATCCGTTTTATTACTCCATCCATTTAAAAAACAATCAATAAATCAGTAATTTTATTTTCAATTTGGATATTGATTTGTTAATTCTTTTTAATACAAAAGTATAAATGTACAATGATTACTCCCTCATTTCAATTTATGTGAACATGTTTGACTAGCCACATAATTAAAAAATAAATGAAAACTTTTGAAACTTCTCTCAAATTTCTGGTCTTAACATGCCATAACATTTTTGTGGCATAAGACTTTCGAAACTTGTGGTCTTAAAAGTTCTTATAACATTTGTGTGAATAAAAACTTGGTATTAAGGATAAAATGAGAAGTTTAAGTTAAATTGATACCAAATTTAGAAAATGATTATTCTTTTTGAAACTGACTGAGAAGTAAATAAGCTCACATAAATTGAAACGGATGGAGTACAGATCACAGTTTTTTTAAGTTGAAGTTAATCAAAATTAATACATGAAGAAAATCATAGCTAAATAAAAGTCAGTTTGATTCACAAATAGTAACAGTGCCAAACAGGGAGTAGTTTTAAGTTTTTCCGTTTCTATGTGGAACCGAATATTAGATAAAGGATTTTAGTTCTACAGGCAAAATGCTTATATGTCAATGCAAAAGGAGAATATCTCAAATTATTAAAAGAAAGCCAAAATTACCGGAGAGGGCGAGGATGAAGACGAAGAAAATGACGGGCCAAGCATGCACCGGATCACGATCCTCCGGCAAAAGCTCGTTTAAAACACTCAACCTCCTCGATACCTCACCCAAAGGACCTTTCGTTTTCTGCACAATGTATGATTCCTCAGTCAATAGGCTTTGTTGCACCACATCTCTACAACCTCTCACCAATTCGAGCAACATTTCTCCCCAAGCCTTAGCGAAACCCTTAATTTGATCCTTAAAGCTCTCCCTCTCCGCCGCAACCTCCTCGGTCGCCGGCGATTCGTACACCGATCTCTTCTCCTCGTACACCGGCGTGGAAAACGCCGGAGTTGAGATTTCTATCGCATCTGCAGCGAACCTTATCCCACTGTCCTCCACTAAGCTTGCTAGCTCGTCTCGCCATGACTTCGCAACTGCAACATCCGCCATTTAATTTCTTCGCGTAAAGATTATCTATATATAAAGTTGATTAGTTGTAGTTCATCGATTATTCACTCAAAGAGTTCTCATTGAGCTATTTGCACTTAAAAAACACACATTACGAAACGAATATGCAAATTAATTACGAATTTTCGGGAAGCAGCTGATGATAGTAAGTTTCCACAAAATGTTAACAATCTATTTTAGTGTTAGTAAAATTAATAAGTAGGATTATACTGATAACCCGTAACCGCCACTGTACTACGATTCAAAAGTGAGGAAGAGAGCGGCGGCACACGGTGGTGGTGGTGGTGGTAGGAAAGGGGACTGACTACTGTGGAGAGAGAATATAAAGGAGATAGTGATCACCTGCTCCCTGAGGTGTACTAATTTTAGTATGTGACGGTGATTAGTGTGGAGAGATTTTAATTCTGTGGAGCCCACTTTGCTCTTTTCTTTATACTTTTGAATTTTCTGGCTGAGCCATCTTTTTCTTTTTCCTTTAAAAAATATTAAATAGTTTAAACCATTTCTTTCTTTTTCTACTTTGTACGTGTCAAAAAGAATGAATATTTTACTATTTGAAAAATCAAGTAAGGTTTTTTTT